GGGGGGGGGGGGGGGGGGGAAGCATCTTTGACGAAAGCAACGGCAAACCACTTCCGTTATCTCTGCCAAGGCAAGGGTGCGCCTGAGAAGTGACCAGCAGCGGAGCTCGACTCATAGACTTTACCATTTTTCAGCCCAGTTTACAACCACAAAAAACTCTCTGCGAGTAAATTAATCTAGGCACCCAGGCAGTCATTTTCACTTCTAGGACATGATAAAAGGAAAGAAGATGCAGCGGGGCAGTCGATGCCACCGTGTGCTTATTTCCCTTTTCCACAGGGCAGCCAATCTAAAATACGGAGCATGCTCAGTTCTTGGGTGGGCATTTACTTTTTTTATTTTTCCCAAGCCAAATGGAGTCCCTAAACCATGCTACTCGTTCCCTCTTAGTTAATACCTCCATTTCTGGTTTAACTTTTAGCGTTGCAGTGATTAATCTTGCAAGCTGGTGCAAGTAGCCAATCTGTAGCCAACGTCAGAAAAATTAGCCATGCAGCTCAGACTGTGCTGTCTTTCCACCTTGAACAAGCATCAGCCTCCCCTTTGGCTTTGCTAGAAGACTTTCTCCTCTGCTGACTATTATCAAAGGAGAAGGACCTTTCCATCAATTCTGCTGGAAAAGCAGCTTCATTGGTTTCCTTCTCTTTATCTCTTTCCAGTCCAGGGAGAGATTCCTTAACTATATAACCAGGTGGCTGAATGTCTTTCCCTCTTCCCTCCCCATCCTTTTTCCTTTGCATTCTCAGATCGTAAGTGAAGGAGAACTATCTTGTTTCCTTGGTAGTTCAGGAGTGGCTTTGGAAGCAGTTATAGCTGAAAGGGGAAGTAGGAAGTAAGCAATTTTGCAGCACCAGAAATTTGCATAAAAGATAGTCCCCTTGGTGCTCAAGTTCTAGTGATGTCATGGATTCATGCATGTAGTTTTCTTGGCAAGAACATGCAAGTGGTTTGCCACTGCCTCCTCCCAGGATGTTGTTTTGACTTCTCACCCTGGCTAACAGCCCTGGGATTTCTTGACAAGTGTTCCACTTAAGTAGTTCAGTCCTGCTTAGTTTCTGAGCCCAGACAAGTCAGCCAGATGCTATGTCCTTAGACTTTAATTGGAGCTGTTCTAATAAGCCTATTGAACAAGATGGAAGATCAGGACTGTCATCAGTTGCATTAGGAGGGCAAAAATGATCATATTCAGTGGGATAATAGTGCCCATTTTCCTGAAACTTTGATGAAGCTATTGGATAATACTTGCTTTATTGCTTGCTTTCTCTTTTCCCCATGTTTGTTAAAATACTGAAATACGAAGGTAGAAAAAATAAAATATTGAAATACAAAGGAAGTTTTTAAAAAAGATGAAACTAAAAGGACTGCTACATTTGAATTTTTAAAAAAACCATAGTAAAAAAAGATTACATTTTAGTGATACATCCTCCGCATCACTTCCATTTGTATCACCAACCACTAGCAACGGTTTAGATATCTGAACTTCACACCAAACACTAGTAATTGTTGTTAGTTTCTATTTGAGTCCTAAAAACCATAGTCCAGATGTCTAAATCTGTCTTGCTGTGTGATAGATTGTAGACAGTATAAGGGAGCTTGATTGCCTTCTGTCTCTCTCTGTTCAAGTCTCCAAGTTTTCGCTAATGCTGGTCTCTGCAGCACAAGTTTCCTCTTGCTCTGAAAAGTCTCCCTATAGAAGATTCACATGTTCCTAGTCTAATTCACACAACTTCTCCTCTGTACTGAAAGAATGTGTAAGAGGAGTTATGAAAGCCACCTTGAAAATCCTTACAGTAGAAATGTTTCTACAGCACCATTCATGTTTGCCAGGATGGGAGAGGCTGTTACCTATATTCATGCACAATTGCAGATAACTAAAGGATTGTATTGTTAATCTTCTATTCTGTGTGCCTCATTTCTAAATAACAGAATGAATGTGTTGTTTTAACAGCACTGAGTTGAGAAGAGTGCAAAACCCACAGATAGATTTAGCATTTTGTACTTCCTTCTTTCATCTATCTGTAGCTAAGTCTAAAGCTGTTGTTTTAAGGAAGACTGTGAATTTAGAGCCATGTGTGATTTATGATGAGCAAAACAAATTTAGGAAACATGGTTCACAGAAATTAACACAGAAAGCTCCCTCATACCAAAAGTTACATCTTTCTGGCCTAGGAGTTCTCCTACACTGGACTGAGGGAGCTTATTTGGCTCACTATGGACCTGTGCAAAATATTTTCTCCACACACCCTCTGCCCAGAGGATTAACTATGCAATCTTCAGTTATGCTTGATTGCTGACTAGAGATTTCTTAATACACGCCATCATCGGTTTTGTATTCATTTTCATCATGACGCACATCAAGTTACTGGCATTTTACTGAGTTGAAAAATATTTTCTCTTCTTTGGAGGAAAGCATTAGATATGTTCACACCTAACTAGATGCTCATAACTAAGAATACTCTAATATATGCTATATTGTTATGGAATAAGAATATGCTACATACGCCATAATAGTATAGAATACTGTGTTTTATTTTGTTTCTAAGTAGGACATGGCATGGGTTAATTTTGCCAAGGATCCTTTTCCCCCTTCTTTTAATGCTTTCTGCCTCAAGTGAAGATTGTAATGGGCCATGGAGGTCATGAGGCTGTAGCTATTCCTACATTTCCAAGTAGTAATCAAGGATTATAATCTGTGTCACAAGAAAATGAAGGCTGGAGCAAATGGGTCACAATTAAGTTAGAAATTGTAAGAGTCAGTGAACTGGGGCTCTAGGGAAGCAATAAAAGAACAGGCTTCATGGAAAAGGACACCAGAGGAAAAGAATATGGTCTCCAAATATAGATGCTCACATCAGTTTAATTTCTGCTGTATTACATTTTACTGAAACAAAGTAGTTCTCATGATATGCTTACAGTGACATAAGAACATAACCAGTCTCCATTCTACCCATTAAAATGGCCACTGCAGTAAGAAAGGTATTAGAAGCATAGTCATTTGAAATGGGCAGCATTGGAACAAGGTGACTAAGGGCCTCTATCTGTGCCAGTTTTGTCATACTTATACTGAAATGCTGTATGCTTATTTGGGAGAAAAAGCCCTGAACTTACCAGAAGTGGTTCTAGGTATTCAAGAATAAGAGATGGCTATGGGACCACTCCCCTGGATAGGACTGTGCACAAGATAGGACGACAAGGAGTCATTACAAGAGAGAACTACAAGGAGCTAGAGCTACAAGACTGTAAAACCTGATGGGAAGAGTGTGATAGGCAGGCTGAATTAATTGTATCAGGACTGGGAACCCACATCCCAGCCACTGCCCCTCATGGCACTATGATATTCAAGAGAATGCAAAGCTAGAATGTTTGGGGATGAGAGACAGTGAATGGTGATTTTTGTTGCAAGGTGCAATCCAGCAGATACACTTTGGTGGTGGATAAGAATTTTGTAAGAACACATCTTTAAAAAGCTAAAAGGCCCAATGCTCATCCTAACTCTAAGGTTAGAAAAAGAAAAAAAATGGGGACTTCCAAGTAATCTTAAGCATGATTACTTGGAAGTGAATCACACTTGGAACTGAATCCAAAGGCATCTCCTACTCATGAGCACAGAAAACTGTGCTCATACAGTGCAGTTCTTTACCTGTTTATGATACCATTTTGTCAATTGAAAGTAAGTATTGGTAAGAACCTATTATGAAAGTTAGGAATCTATGTTAAATATTAAGAAGCCAAAGGTAATATGAAATTGGATACTTACAGCTGACCACAATATGTCAAAGGTGGATCGTGTGCTAGTGACATACAGAGATGATTAATTCTAGGGAGGGATGGCAATGACAACATAGATAAGAACACGAAGGATAATGCATTCAGTGTCAACCAAGATCAGAAGAGTTAAACCAGTGGGCTGAATGGTAAGGTGGACACTGAGAAAGAACAAGAGAAAATAGATACTTTCAATGTATAGGTATGGGAATGACTCCTCAGCATATCATGGACTGCAAGAAGAATCAATCGACCGGTACCAGACCAAGTGAGGACTGACTGTTCCTTGAGGCAATCAATGACCAGCAAGCAGAAACTTGGGACATGTGAGACACGTGGATGATAGACTAGAAGAAATTATGTTTGCCAAGGTTGACCAAAGTAGAAGACAGTGGATAAGTGGGATCAAAAGACTGCTGAAATATCCTTGGAAGACCTTTGAGTTATTTTTAAAGGCAAGCTAAATGGTGAGCACTTGTCCATGAAGTCACCAGGAACTGAACTGGACTCAGAGGCAACTAACTGAATTCAGAAGTAAGCTTCATGTTCAATACAGTTTTCCTATATATAATTAGGTGCACTTAGTCTTCCCTTTCTTGGCATTTGTTTTGGTCACTAGCAAACATGTAATAATAATGTTGCCATGGACTGATTAACACAAGGAAATAAACTGGTTCACATTTTGAATGACAATGTTACATCCAAATAAGACATATATAGACATAAATAACAATTCTAGATTCCACAGAAAACACAAAATTCTCCCCTGATTTAACATAATGTAGAAACTCATTCATAAGTCTTAGCTTATATGAACCATTGTTTAAATATGGGGCTTCAACATCAAGTGTTTTTGGGTCCTGTTTTGCACTCTTCTTTTGGAGAAGGTAAGGATTAGCTACAGATTGATTTCAGGTCCAACAGTCCCAAATGAATACTGTATGTAGAATGGCAGATGAGCACAGAGGCAGGTAGGCCGATTGTTAATACAGTAAAGGCTGGTCATATACATTGTTTTGGGTGCACATTATATTATTTTTTTCACACTTGTATGCTTATATGAAATATATATGTGATATAGATATTTTACAACAAATGTGCCTATTTCCAAGTAGTGTATAAGTCTGAAAATTAAAATTAATTTATCTGAGTTTTGCATGCTATTTCAGGACCTTTAAGGTGGAATAAAGATATTGCTCCAATATGAAAACTGGATTCTATTATGGCCAGTTCACTGTTGCTTTCTATATTACTTGAAGGCAAGTTCCATCAAACTCAGCACATAATAAATATCCTGTTCATACAAAATCCCACAAAGTACCAGCTTGGTTTTATCCTGTTCCTTTTGGCCCTGGCAAGAGACAACATTGGGTTGCAACCTCATCCCATACACAATTACACCACAGTAACTCCTATATTCTATGTTCATGCTGTCTTGCCTGCTGAAAACTGCTCTGGACATATCTCAAGAACAAGCCGGTAGAATTACTCCCAAGTACCTATCAGGGTGCGGGCAATTTGTGCTTGCACCGGTGGTGCAACGGAAATGTTGGCAATTCTTTAAGGCTGAGCAATACGGGGGAAACGTCGAAGGGGCTTGCCCAAGACGCCCGCTCTGACTCATAAGCAGCCCCGACTCCCCGCTAGGTCTCCTCGGGCGTAA